ATAGGAAAGTTCACATCAAGTACCTGAAAAGGTTGTCGTGCCAGGCGGATCAGTGGAGTAGTACGCATCGGCGAATCCGACGAGACACGGCAAAACGTGGGATTCCGGTGGGTGCCCACAACACCTCTGAAGGGAAGATGCGTGCAACGAAGAATGCTTGATGACCGAAGTCCTTGATGCCTGCAGCGGGTTGACAAGAGGCCTTGCTTCCCTGTGCCCAAAGGGCATAAGCGTGCTGGCGCGTGCTGATTGCCTAGTAGTGCGAAGGATGTCGATCTGCCAAGTGAACAAGAAGAGGATCCAAGATGACACGAAGGATCGACTAGGCGAGGATTGATGGCGGCGTGTGCGCGGCGTATACTGTGTTAGAGTTAACTGTTATAGGCTTATATATTACGCTTCTTCATATCGCCTGAATAAGATGGAAAACATTACACAAATTACTATAAACAAATATATACTAGAAATAAAAAGTTACGAGATTGTCTGTAACTTGTAAATCCTATTGCAAGAATAGAGAGAGGAGAATACTACGGTTGATGGTGACTACGATTAACTACTATTAGAAGAATACTAACCAAATACAAATAAGGAACCTAAGGTGCTAACTCCCATATTGAGACTAACTAAGTTCTAAGAGGAGAATAGAGAGGTAACTACTAGAGGTTATCCCGGCGAGGTGACTGAAGCTAATATTTAGGTAGAATATATAAGCTAAAGTTAAACTAACTATTTTATGGCGAGCTGGTGTCATCGCATGATGATGGAATAGAATAACAGCGATGATAGCCGATAACCGGAGAGGCGAATAGACGCCGTTCAAGAGAGCACTCCGATCGCTACATCTCCATGGTGGGTGGGAAGCGTTGCAACGAGGGTCGATGGTTGCAGGCCCGTAAGGATTAGCGCCCTAACCGCGCAATTTTGCGACGAAGCTGGAGTGATCTAGGTAGGTACGGACCTTACAATTTCCCTCGCGGTATCCTTCCTACAATTCGGGTCAATCTTTGCCTTCAAACAGTCTTCTGTCGGAGTTTTTTGAATGTCTCTTGCCTTTCAATGCTCTGCAGGAGGTAACAATGCCGACGTCAGTCACTCAGATTGATCTTTACTATCCATTACGGTTACAATCACTAGTAATAACCACTCGATTTGTACTGACTGAAGCTATGCTGAGATTCATGGAGCGATAAACTTGAACATCCTCTAAATTACTAGAAGATGACCATTTAAAGCATAAAAGAAACAATTACAGGTAGAAGACGCCTGTATGTGCCTTAATCTTTCCGACGACCAACTTCGTAATGTCATGTCAGCTCTGCGAGAAGGCATGGCACTAGGTGTCAAAAAAGGAACACGTGAGTTACACTGTAATAATTGAAGAGTGCTTGAAAAAGTTTGCCGAGATACCGATTTCGAGACAAGGCTGGACAACAAAGTTTTTGGGGCGATTGGAGAACAGTGGTGGTCTTGCTCTAGAAATACCAGGCTTGAAATTATATCTGAGAATTCGACACATCAAATTTGATGCGCAGCTCTGCGCTACGTAGCCGAGGAACGTGCTTAAGGAGTGCTGCATGGCTGTGGTGTTGATTAGAGGAAGCGATCACGCTGGCTTTCCACGTGGATCGGCGAACGCCGCGTTATCAACCGATAAGGTCGGAGATAGATAGTGGTTGGACGAGCGTAACCTATGGAAGATACGATACGATTAGATAAGAAGATACGGCTGCTTGGAATGAGGTGCACTCCAGCATGAAAATCGAACGATAACGATAACCGTATCATATCTAGCACGTTGCTACTGCATCCCCTTCCACGTCTGATAAGGAACCGTAAGTGGGTTTGCGGCGTGATAAGGCGCCACTGCCCCTGAAGCGTCACCTGTCGTCCATTGGGTAGGACCCTACCCAATCCACTATGTCACTTTCCTTATCGTCTCCATAGGGATTTCCGTGACCACTTCCTTTAAGTTCTAAAAGTCCTCGACAACCTGTAGTTGCAGCGGATGGTCACACACACATGTTAGCAGTTATTCTTCAGTCCGCGTTCATAGTTCGCCAGTAGGGAAATTAGGACAGTACGCGACCATGACATTTTCCCTCCTATGTAAACTTCTCTCTGGGCTTCTTCTATGGGCAGGAAGTGTGCCAAGTGGCTGTGCTCACACGCGCACAGTCCGGAGATCGAATCCTGGATCGTGCAGCTTACGGGCCAACTAAGCCTTCCAATGCGAGTCGCATTCGAAAGAGGGTTGTTCAGCGGCAAATACTTTATCTTTGGACCATATGTATAGTTTTGCATCCAACCAGGAAGATCAGATTGCCCGGATTAGACATAATGGCTGGTATGCAGATGTTGGTAGACGACGTCCAAAGTAGTGAGCTCGGAGCCGCCGAGGGCGGGCTGGGGAG